TCGCGCGTGCGCCGGTGGAACCTCCACCTGTGCTTCTGCGAGACATAGTCTTTGGCCGCGGTGGAGGCCCCGCCCGAAGCATTCCGCACAGGTTTGCGTCGTCCAAACAACGTCTTCAGAAATCCTCAGGAAGCTCTTGATGCAAGACAGTACGAGGGGCGTGAAAGTGGGTACCTTCGGAATGAAGATACCGGCTCCTGCGAAGGATTTCTCGGCATCGCCATGCGGTCTGGGCAATCAGCTTGTCTAATTGTGGGGCCGCCTAAGCTGGGTGTTTCGGAAGATTCTGGTCCAGACAGGAATCTTCAGCGAAACATGCGAAGCATCAACAGCAATCGAGCCTGTCTGTCAAGCACAGGCTTCACGTGACATCTCAACGGGACCGCCCACCTCCAGAACCCCCAGCGTCGCTTGGCATGCCTTTTCAAAGCGGGCGGCGTCCTTCGGCTCCGAAAGTTGCATGACCAATCCCTTTAGCATCTGCTTATGTCCTGATGTTGGAGGTCGGGTCAAGACTTCTGGAGCTTGTAGGAGCCGGGACCATGCCATGAGGACATGCAAGTTCCTTTCAAAAGAGTGAGACAGGAAAGGCTTGTTGTTGAATGTTCAAGGCATTCAACGGAGCAAGGTATAATGCTTCAATTTCGGCAATCTTTAGTCCGACTCAAGCGGGTTTCAACCGTCTCTCTATCACTAGGGGTCTCAACGGTGGTGGAATTGGTCTTGCTAGGTCTTGCTGTAGGTCTTGAGTCCTCAGGGTGTCCAAGCTAGCTCTCCTAGCTCCGGCAAAGCCTGCAAATATCAGGTGATCACGGCGTCTTTGGTTAAAACCACCTGCGAGACATGGCACCACGGGTCAACGCCCACGCCATGGGATCAAGGTGAACTGAAACGCCAGCACTTGACAAAATGGCCGAACATGAGCCGAAGCGTCAGAGTTGGTCAACGAACCCTTCATTCGCTTTCAATTCCATCCTCTGCTCTGGATTTGCCATGCCTTCTACTTAAAGTTTGTATGCACTGTACAGAAAACAACGAGATTTGTAACCCACATTCGATCCACAGCTGCACTGGGACCGGCGTATGGAACTCTATCATGCTATCTTGTGTTCGCTTTCTTTCATGGTGGCCGAACTTGCCTGATGTTTGCATCTGTAATCAAAGGTATTGTAGGGTGTTCTGGCTACACCGGGCTTAAGGCATCAAGGGACGAAGTGCGACTTTATCCTGCCAGGATGTCCGCGCAATGGCCTTGGCAATCTGGATGGCTACCGTGCTGCATACACGCCTATATTGCACTATGCACATGCAAGCGGAACTGCTCTTTGTCGCCATGTGCAACAAATGGCCTTCTGTTAATTCTACATGCAGTATACCTTCTTAGCCCTTTCGTCCTGACGCTTCGGCAGAAGGAAGCATGCGTTGAGCACCGCGAGGCTGGGCGATGATGACCGTCAGTGAAGGACACGCAAGCATACGGAGTGAACGATGCCGTGCGAGGAAGCCAGCCGGAACCCAATTCCGGCAACCCTTGAGGTGGAATTGCTGTGCTTCCGTGCTTGTGGCAAGGACTGCGGTTCGGGATTCTGCTCGGGTTTTGGTTGAAGCAATATGGAAACAGGGTTCATACCACATGGCACCTTCACTGGTACAGGCAGGCAGGTGAGAAGTGACAGAGATCGAAAAGCGGCTCCGAGCTTTCATATTGACGGTGTAACCCCAGTGCACCCGCGGAACCCGGATTTCGACAAGAGCTGACGTCGATGAGTTTGCAGAGGCTGTTTTGAATATACACATGTATGAATGTATGCATGCATGGATCCATGCATGCTTGCTTGGGTGCATGTTTGCGGGTTTTTATGTATGCATGTATGCATGCATGCGTGCGTGCATGTCGGCGTACGTCTGTGTATGCATGTACGTAGGTATCTACGTATGCATGTATACATGTATGCATGCATGCATGGATGTATGTATGTATGTACAGCATGTCACTGCCCCTCATCATACAACATGCGGCGGCCCACTTGTTTCATAACCCAGCCACTGCATCGGGCAAGGGACCAGTGCAGTAGAGGACTCGACCCAATCATGTTCATTGGTCATGATACTACTCACTACATCACCGAATGTGCCCCGGCCTCTCTGCTGTTCGGCCCAGGTGCCCCTATCAGGCTCCACTTCACTGCTTTCCTCTCTTTTGAAGCTCAGCTCCGAATGTGAAACAAGATGCATGCACCCGTGCGGAGTCAATTTCCTTGCATTTTCGGTATGTGAGGCATGTCGCGCCACTTACACTGCTGCAGTGACTGCCACACGGCCTACGTCCTCTGGTCTCTTCCTTGCAGCCGTATCCATCTGCATCCAGGTCGATATGCCCTATCGTGCTTTGGACGAACTTATACACGCCAGAGGCTCAGACCGCAAGCTATCACTCGGAGGAGAGTGCGCAGAAACCCTAGACAGAACTGCTCCCACTTTTTTGGGGGTGCACCGCATCAAAGGTCACCTGCAGCACCTCCTTATGTTCACCTTTGGCCCAGCCACCCGTGATCGAGCACAGGGAAACCTTTTCGAGTGCGTCAGCTCTGTCTTCATTGAGATGCTATCAGGTCACTGGACACCTGGCCATCAAGACACATTCTCCCGATCCAACTGGCCAAAGGCCTGGCCATTCAAGCCACAAACTACTTTTTTGCATGCGTTCTTCTTAGACTGCCAGGCACTGAAGCGGCCACTTGTCCTGGATCAGTTTCTATGCCCTCTGTGCCTTCCTTGGTCCCAACCTCGGCACAGAAACAAACGTGCTGTGCAGAGAGCCCAGAGTAGCCCGTATCAAGGTACCTTCTACCAGGGCAGGTGGTGCTCACTGCACACCTTAGGTCAGAAGTATCTGTCGCAAACTCGTCCAGGGTATCATGCTCAACCAAGACAGCCCCCTGCACCTCAGGCTACATCTGCAGATCGTCTCCGCATTGCCTCCTACAATGTAGGAGTATCTTGATCTGCCGCCCTCATATTGTCTTCCTCCAGGATGCACACAGGTCGCCTCAACATATACCACAGACAACTGGCATTTTGTGTCAGTTCCATCTAAGAATGCTGCCTCGGGGGGATTGGCCACGTTAATCTTCACCCTGCTTTGCTCCTCGGAGACTGTCATGCACGCCTCTCCAGTGGAAGATCGCATCCTTCATACTCGCATCAGCCTGTGCAAGACCCAGACGGTTGATTTGGTCATATGGTTACCCAAAAGGCCTGCACACTGGAGTCACACGGGGGAAATCACCCGGAGGATGGAACAGCTAGACGGCAGCGACGTGCTGTCTGGGCACTTGCTGCAGAGTTTGCCCAAACCACACTTATGGATTGTGGCAGGAGATTTGAACACGACTGTTTCAACGAGTCTGCAGAATGTTGGGGCCAGGCTCCAAGCACTGGGCCGCGCGTGCCCCATGGTACTGAGATCATGGGCATTTCAAACGATCTTGACTTAGTACATCTAAACTCCTGGTCCAGGAGAGCCACACCCACCACAAGGCAACTCCACAATCGACCATGCTCTTGCTCGAATGGATCAGTGTAATGTGCAGTCCAGACAAGCTGGGCCTGTCAACTGGCCTTTGATGAGATGGAGGCTAGGAGGCTGACACTGGCCACTGTTCTTCAGCCTGCCCATAAATACCTCATGGGAATGCCTGGAGGCGCTATCCTTCTGCCGGGCCACGTCTTGATAAGGCGGAACTTCTACAAGTTTGCCGAAGCCCCGATGATCCCAGAATCGCTCGTGTGCCAGGCCGTCTCGGCATGGCTTCAAGTCACGCTTCATGCGTCGGTGGAGGACCATAATCAGCAGCGCGTAAAATTGGCCACTGACCTTTTCCCACATCAGGCCAGCACGCCGCCCATCAGCACTTGGAAAGCCGCACCAGTTGCCTAACACACTTGCAAAGACACCTCCACCAGTGGACGGGGGCTGTTTCGTGTTGGGAAGGCATGCTCGGCTTTCAAGAGGGCTCATCGAGAATTGCGAAAACGAACTCGTGGTGCCGAAATGACTGCTATGCTGGCCCGAACTACTGAGATTGAGCAGGCAACTGCTAAGGGGGATGTAAGGGCACTCTTCAAGTTGGCTGCTAAACGGCCTGTTGCCAAACACAAGCCGAAATTACAGCTACGAGGGCCGGCGGCAGAGTTGTGGTCTCCAGCACAACAAACCGACTGTTTACGAGTTTCCTATGCTCATCTTTATGCTGAGTCGGGTGCCCCTGCCCATCACTTGCTGACCACGATCACTCTGTCCACGACACCCGCACTCAGGTGTTTCCTGAGTTTGGACTGCATTATGTGCTTGATGGCCTGGTTAAACTTCCGCGTCGCAAAGCTGCACCTCCTCATCTTGCCCCGAGCAGTGGTTGGCTCGCGTGTGCGAGGGTTGTAGCACCGTGGCTCCATCAACATCTGACAATCTGCACCTCCATTCCGGCGATCTGGAGAGATGCGTGGCTCAGTCTGTTGCCGAAGGTGACGTGTGCCACCAAACCAAAGGATCTACGCCCCTTGGAAATCACTGAGATAATCGGTCGTGTTGCAGCTGGCCTTGTCCAATCTGAACTCTGGCCGTATGTGCAGGCCTATCTGGCTGATGTCCACAGTTTGCCTATATATCACATATAATATAGAAACACCGATGCCGCCCTCGTATTCTAGCATTGCTACCGAGTCATCAAGCTTTGTAAGCCAGGCAGGTACGATGCTATCGCTACCCGCTGTGAAGCCTCCACGGAGTCCGGAACTGTTGGAGGGGGAGTACAAATTAGCTTGGACTTGTCCAACGCCGATAGTCGGGCTCTTCACCAGGCCAAAGCTCCAACCCAATTGCAGAATCTCATCATGCAAGGGCATCAGGGTCTTGTATATCGATTCCGCGTCCAACAATGTACCGCCCAGGTTGAAGCCAAACGAGGAGTCCGACAAGGGTGTCGCATTGCTCCCTTGGTATGGAGCTTACCACCGGTGTCTTCTTGCACGAAATTGGTCAGCGACTACAGGATTTCAGCTGGGTCCGTGCCTGCACAGCCTGCGCTGATGACATACATGGCGGAGACCTGGTGTCAACTCCTCAGCAGTTGGACGCCCTCCTCTGTAAGATTGGCCACTTATTTGATGTGCTGGTTGATGCTAGTCTCAAAATTAATGCTATAAAGTCAGCCTTCCTCATCCGCTTTACCTCTGGCTTGACACACTGTCCGGAGTAAGGATGCTGACCACCTAAGGGGTTGAATACAACATCCCGATCAAAGCTGAGCACAAGTATTTCAGCCCAATGGCTAGCTCACTTCATCATCGCACCCAAGCAGCTTGGACAGCCTGGGGACACCTGCAACCCATGCTCACTGCTGCCATTGCGCTACGACTTCCCTTATGTCTCAAGCTGCGGGGGGGGGGGGGGGGGGCATGCATTCCCGCTGGTCTCACCTATGGTCTGCACGCCTTGCCACTTCGTGAAAAGCATATGCGAGAGCTGCAGATGGTGGCTACATGCCAGCTCAGAGCAGTTGCCAAATCCCAGTCACATCTGAATCATGAGACAACCGATGCTCTTCCTGCTCGCCTGAAAGTTCCCACACTGGATGCTGCGCTGACAGCAGCAAGAGCACGTTACTATTTCATCAAGGGCCATTCAAGCACCTACGCTGACTTGGTATCGTCCAATCCATACCACGTCGGAGGTGTGCACACAACCTGAACCTCCCCCTGCTGATACACAGATTCATCTCGTACGCCCCATCTGTGCCGAGGCTTGCTCGACCCAGCCATCGCCTTCTTCGGGCGCACCAGTCGGTTGCTCATCACATCAGGGCCTCCACACGAGTCAATGAGTCACGGTTTGTTTAAATGAAACATTCACAGGCTGGCTTGCCCACTTGTGCACTATGTGATAAGCGCTTTACCTGGTGGCCTGGTGGACGTCACTTCGTGCTCACATCAATCGAGACTGGTGCCCTGCCCTCTTACATGAACCTCGGAGGTGTAATCCTGCCCCCCCTCTCCGATGGACAGTCTCGGTCCGTTCAGCATGCCCCTTTGTCCCACTCGTTTATCAACCATGTCTTGCGAGAGGAAATGTGGGTATCGGATACATTTCTCCAACCGGTTCCTCCGGCTGCTCCTGAGGCTCAGGTTGCCTCCACGCAGATCTCTCAAACAACTGCATCCGAATCAGTGTTTGTTTAGCCTGAGTTTCGCACGAAGGCTGATGCTCTACCTGATTTGGGCCTTCATGCACCAAGTACTGGCTCCCAACTTGAAGCTCGAAACCCGACGTGGCAGAAATTGGTTGGGCCGGCTTCTCAGACACCGATCATTCAGAGGCCTGAGGTACTGAACCTCATTCGAGCTAAGGGCTGGCAAGGCATTTTGCACTTGCCGCTCATACGGGACGAGCTCAGGCACCACTGCCCCGAGTGTATGCAGTGGTGTAGCACCAAGTCGAGCACATCCACGTTGGCAGCAGGCACAGGCTCAAATCAAGGCTAAAGCTGCTCTCTTTAACCGGGCTGTCGAGTTTGACAAGCAGCAACATTGGCATCGGTGTCACTTCATTGCTCTAGCTTGCTACCTCGAGTTATGCAGCGATGACCGGCGACTCCCAGATACTCGCAGACTGGTCAGCTCGGCCAAGGCGCAGGAGCTTCAGATGTTCGGCCACCTCTTTTCCAAGATTGGCGGTGCGAGTGGGGAAGCTGCAGCCAAGCGACCCAGGGCGAACGAAGAGCCCACAGATGCTCCGATGCACCAAGCTCTTCAGGCCACCCCGACGACTCGATCCCAACGACCGCTGCCGACTCCGGCTCGGGGATGGGGGAAAGGCAAGGGCAAGGGACAGCCAAAGGGCAGAGGCAAGGGCAGCAAGGGCAGATAACCACCCAAGCATCGGCTCGGACTTGGGAAGATCAGGCCGGCGACACAGATCAGAACTACGACAGCTTGAACTCCGAGACGCTTTTGTATCAGGTCGCCAAGCTTGTCCTGACGCACGAAGCACCGCTGCACACTCTGCAACAGGACACCAAGCTGTACTTGTATCTGAGGCCGGAACAGGAGTACTCAGTTCTCCACATGATGCTGCAGCTGGCGCCGAACGGCGAACCAAAATGGAGACCAAACCGGAGCAGGTCACCATGTCGCTTCGAGAGACCGTGCTTCGTGGACTACTTCGGGAATGGCGAGTTCGCCTGGAGGCCTTTCACGTCGCAATACCGAGGCACAGGCCACGGCACAAAGGCTGCAATGGGTAGATTCCCTGTCGCACTGGCAGCACCTTCACTGGTGTCCTCGGATTCGGGAGTTGGTGCTCACGGAGCGAATGGAGTCCAAGTCCACAGAGGAGTCCTTAAGATTATCACGGAGCTGGAGGACCTCATCACCGGCGACACGATCAAGACGTTCAAGTCGGTGCGGAAAATGCAGGAAACATACGAGGCCAGCTGCATGCAATTCCTGATCGAAAATCAGATTCGCGGCCCAGGGGGTTGCATGTGGACCCTCTTCCTGGACCTCATTGGCAGTGCGGCCTTGCACCTCCTTGTGGCTCGCCTCCACAGGGAACGACACCCATTGTCAGGTCTGGCACAGCACTTTCAGGAGCAGCTGTGGTAAAGCCTGGATCTGCCAATCATGTTCTTGAAACCACACTCCGTGGAGTGTCTTTGCACTCCATCTGCCAGCTCAATCACTTGTGGGGTAAGATTCAGCAGCAGCCTCAGCTCTTCGATCCCAGTCTTGGGTCATGCTTATGAGCCCTCGGCAGCTAATGCAGACACAACATGATGCAGCTGAATTCATGTCTCACATGCTGACCAGACTGCGGCTTCCAGCTTTCACGGGCAGTTGGGAGGCACGGCAGATTGAGGCCAGGGGAATCATCATTCGCGATGAAGGCTCTCTCATGCATCCGATTGCACTCCCCATTCAGGGGAGGTTGAGCTTCGCTCAGTCCCTTGAGGAATGGTGTTCTCAGGATATCGCTCATGCACTCGTGCCAGATCCACCAGCCAACTTCCGTGGAATTCAGTTACTCAGGTTTAAAACTGGGGTTAGTGGCAATCGTCCTCGTCGTAACATTCGCAAGGATGCCAAGCCCATACAAGGTGTGCTCGCTGACTTTGTTGTCCCTTAGTTTCTTGACTCCACAAGAATGGCAATCTGTCATCCTGTGTATGAGGTCATCGCTCTGATGCTGCATCGGGGAAACACAGTGCATGTCGGACATTATGTCTGCATCTGGAAAAAGGGCCCACACCTGTCTGTGGCTGCTTGATGATGCACATGTGGCACGAGCATGTACTGAGTCAGATCTGCAACACCTCTCCAGTGAAGTCTACATCACCTGGTACAAGCGCCGGCAGGCCTCACCATTGGCTGGTGACATCGTGATCTGATGACTCTCGTTTTGAACGAGCTAGGCATGTTTTTCTAGCGGTCGACCGCACCGGAGACACCATGGCGAAAACCGGCAGGCACTACTCGCGAGGCGAAGCATCTCTCTCCGTCGCGTTTGCAAGACATGTATGTATGTATGTGTATGTATATGTATATGTATATGTATATGTATATGTATATGTATATGTATGTGTATGTGTATGTGTATGTGTATGTGTATGTGTATGTGTATGTGTATGTGTCTATGTCT